TCGAACCCATGGCTGCTGCAGCAAGGACTAAATGAGGCACCAGCTCTACCAGGTGAGCTATCAGGGCACCCTGTGCTTGTGTATTGAATGTTGACTTCTTTCCCTTGAGTGAATTCTAAAATACTCCTCAGTCAATCTGCAGTCAGTTTGCTTGTTGTGGAAAAGTGTAAAAGATATGTACCAATATTAGCTTCCCTGATCTGCACTCATAACTGAGGGGTCTGGACAGAAATAGCCAGGTCACCTTTCATTTTAAGGTTTGACCAAGGAATGGACAGCAATAGGATCTCAGGACATAGGCTATATATTTTGGAGCTAACTCTCTGTGGGGATTAAAAGTGATCATAAAAGTTTTAAATTCTACTCTAAAACTGACTTGTAGCCAATTTTAAAACCGGTAAGAATGTGATCTCTCCTGTAGTCCTGGCCGAAGGTTTATTGAGATTTTGTTGTGTGAGGCAAGAGAAGAGTGCATTGCAGCAGTAATTAGACCGTGATGAAATGAAAGCATAAATTACTTTCAGATAGAAATAACCTGACTTTAATCTCAATAGTTAATGTAAGATGAGAGGGGAGGAAATTTAGTTCTGTGAATAGTCTTGACCTGTGATAAATCAGAGATCAGATTTTAACTGTAGAAAATCAGATGCCATCCTTATTAATATCTGCAATCCACAAGTGAAGGTATAATTGTGTGTCATTGACATATAGGGAGTAACTGATTAATAATATTAAGTGTTAACATGGAAATGGAAAATATTAAGGGCCCAAGGACGGAACTCTGTGGAACTACATATTTTAACGTTATTATAGGCGATTGATAACTCCAAATTTCCACACAGACGTTAAGACGTTCAATTAAAATACTATGATTAACAGTGTCAAAAGCTGCAGACAGATTTAACAGGAGTAAAACAGTGTGTTGACCACAGTCTGGTCTTTTATACATCACCTGTCACACTGGCTAACTTCATATTAGCACATGTCATCATCTACTGATTCCTATCAACTTTTGGAGATTTAGCGACTCTTTTTGAAAAGAGTTTGCAGTACCACTGGGGCTATTTAATAGAGACTCTTTACGTAAATAGGGTTTATGGTTTAATCCCTCATGTCTCATAAGTCATTTTATACTCTATAATTTTTCTGACATCAGGTACCTTTAAACCTCCTACAGTATATGACCATGCATTTCTAAGTGATGAAATTGGATGGTTGCTTCCGCTGGGCTTTGTGCAGTCAGCTTTTGTGTATAAAATGGATTGCCTGGACCCTCATGAGGGCATATTGTTTTTTTCTGCGGCATCGTCTGAAAGCAGTTTACCTGCCATTGCCATTTCCCATTATGCTCTGCTATATATTCCATTATTTTCCCAGTGTTTGTTGTGCTTGCAAGCAGTGCCGTGCTGCATCAGCCCAGTGTCACAATCAGCACTTCCCTCCAGGGACGACGCATTAGGACCACTGTACCACATCTGCTTAGTCGATTACCACTGTTTCTTATTCACAGGATGAAGCAGGCTGTTAAACCCACTGCCCTCCCTCTATCAGCTGCATTCCCCTCCATATATTATTTCTTCCGTGTGTGTCATGTTGTCCTAACTCCCTGTACTCCTACCTGCTTCTCATTCATTTAAACACTGCTCATTTTGCCTTCTTCTCCTTTTCCTCAAAATTCAGTTAAATTTCTCAGACCAGCATGCACCATTAGCTTGTTTTGAACTATAAATAAAACTGAAGCTCTGTAGCTGGTTGGTAAAGTGTCTAATAGAGAAGCCAATGTTCTTAGATTAAACAATCACTAAATAATTTAAGTTAAATGCCTGCTTGAGATTGTGGATGCTGCCGTGCATTTAGAGCCTTTTGAATTTAAATTTTAAAGGTTCTTCTTCAGTGATATCATTATCCTATAGAAATTACTATTCTTCTTTTTAAATTTAAATGTAAATGTAATCTTAACATAATAATTAGCTGTGTCCCAGTTCTTAGTCTACACTATGTACTACAGGGCACTGTTTTGTACTAACACAATATCAAGTGTTGATGGACATCAGTCAAACTATGAACTTGTAACACCACCACCAGCTAAACTATTAAAATATTTAATGCTTTACTTTTTGTATTCTAAGATGTTCCTTGAACTTACCACATTTTGTTTTTAGGAAATATGACCCCCGTTTCCTTTTTTGCAACTTGTGCAACATGTTCAGCCTACAAACGGTGCAATCCTGATTGCATTTCAAATCCCAAGACCCCCTGCTGATGTCTGATGGCTCAGAGGAATGTGTCATGTCATGTGCTGGTGATGTGCATTGTTCAAATCAAGAAGATAGCCTGTGTTATCAACACTGTCAGAATTTTGACACAATAATAAAATCAAGCAGACAGGCAATTTTCCTTTTTGTTTTCCTGCTGTTTTTGGTTTTGTGTGCCTTTCTGTATGAAAGTAGTAGTCTTGTCTATCTATTCTCTGTAAGTAAAGGCTACTAGCAGTGTGTCTGCTCATGTTTTGCTGAACCTATCTGTGATATACTTTTAGCTACACCACTGCATTGATGCAGCCTATGAAGAGGAGCTGGAGGAGGGAATGAGTGATGACAGGCATTTTGATCCAGTCAGTGATCTTCAGTGCTGACAGGGTTTTGTTACCTCAGAATTTGAAAGAAGTTATCTCTCAGAACAAATCAGGATTGTGAAATTGATTCAGCTTGATTGTTGTACTCAAGGAGACAGGCCTATACAGGCAATACACAGGCTTCTGACAAGTAATAATTTGAGTTGTTGCTTGCAGCATATGTTAATAGGCATTTCAACAGAGTAGTCATAGTTCAATGCAAGTAGAGAGATGAAATAATCCTGATGTGTTTATTGTTTTTAATGATGCCAAGCAATGACAGATCACTTAGAATCAAAAAAGGAAGCATTTTAATTCCCAGAATGCAAATACAGCCTTTTGATGCTGATATCTGAACTGTGAGAGCTGCTGTTTGTACTTCTGGTATAAATTTAACTACTTTGCTAAGATTGTACCTGTTCACCCCTCATGTTTGCTTTTTACTAATGTACAGGATACCAAAGCATCACTGAGGTCTGGAGTGTGCTAGTTTTGATGATACTGTGGTGACATCTCACTTATATGCAGATGATGTTGCGTTGGTCATTTTTAATCTGAAATGTGAGAAGAACTCCTGTTTGTGTTTGTGGTGCACAAGGATTGGTTTGATTATTAAGAGCTTCAACCCTGTTTGGTCTGATTACTCCAGACCACCAGGCACATGGGAATACATTGATCTGCAGAGGGATAGCACATAAAGCAAGCTATCAGAAGGCAATGAGGCACAGCCAACAGCAATTTACAGCAGAAATATGTCAGAAATGTGTTTGTGTGCGTGTGCGCGCATGTATGTGTGTGGGTGTTTGGGTCATTTGGGGTTTATTTGGTGGTAGAGAACCTTGGCAATAATTGGTTTCTTCTCTGTAATCTTTAGATTTCTTCCAAATTTTGTGGGGTGTCTCACTTTAATATTCACTGCTACAACCTGACACTGTTTGTACCATGCATGTATTCATGTGGGTGTTTGCTATGGTCTTACAGAATCAAAATAAATTGATTGAAGTGTGGATTTGTTGGTAGTGTTTGCTCTTTGAACTCATCCTCTCCTCTCCTCTCCTCTCCTCAGGTGCTGAAGGGCAGTAAAAAACTTTGTCTCTCTGTGCGTTCAGTCGGTCGGATTCCAGGTGGCTATGTCACCAACCATGTTTATACCTGGGTTGACCCTCAGGGTCGGAGTGTGTCCCCTCCTCCTGACCTCCCTGAACATCGGAGTGCCACCCTGAGAAGAACTGACAGCCAGCGACGCAGCAACATGCAGCTACTGCAGGAGGGAGATGAAAAGAAGGTGAGGCTTTACATCGGGAACAAAACACTGAAGTGCTCGAGTGTTTCTTTTTTTTTTTTTTTTTTTTACACAAATCTCAGTTGTTCGTTAAACTATCTGGGGCGAAAAAGGTAAAATATTAAAATTTTAAAAAGCATGTGCCCAGGACTGTGTATGATTAAAGTTATTTATAGGTGGCCATGACATTAATTTATTAAAAACATTTGTTGTCCCTTATATCCATTATACACTTTTAACAGTTTTTGTTTGCAATCAACATGTTGCTTGTAAGTATAATCTCTACAATTTCTCTAGAACTCTCAAAGGTAATGCTAAAAAATCAAACATTCATGAAGAACGTAAAAGCACAAGCTGAATTACGCCAAGCTCATATAAACAAGTTGTTCACACAGCTTTTGCGTCAGTCACTGTGGTCTAACATGGCCATGAATGAATCAGCTTGATCATGAACATTAACTATTCAAATGCCTTACTGGACAAACACAACTAATACTGGGCCATCGTCAGTCCTTAGGAAGACAAGGCGGTTGTTCTGGAAACATTACATTTTAAACTAAACTACCCACCAAAACCAGTGTCTGAAATTGTTTCAGACAACAAGTAGATCATGCATTTGCAGAATCATGCTTCAATTATATTTTAGTGGCTGGTGAAGGGTTTTAGTTTGAATGGTAACCAAATCACGTCATCATCTGGTTCCAATGTGACAGTCTGGAAGAGTAAAAGAAAATCATAATAGTAAGACTCAGTAATGGACAAGAGATGAGGGACACTGAAAATAAATTAAAAAACTTAAATAATAACAGTAATTGGACCTTCAGTCTCACAAAACTCCACCCTGTCACCACCTCATGACCTGCAGGGAAGGATTTGTCAGAGCTGTTTAAAAGATTTATTACAGTAGAACTTTCAATTTTTCAGCAGCTAAGAGCCACACATTAATCTTAACTGCCTCAACCCCTTTAATACAGGCTGTAGTCAGTGCCATGCAGATAACGTTTACAAAATATTAATTCAGTGTTCTATAGATCGTTTGGCTGTTTTAAAAAAGAAATTAATATCCATCCCTGATATTTAGGTGCTTCTAAAGATTAACTCTGAGAGAAAATCTATGTTATCTTAATAATTTTAAACCGCTTTTTATTGGAATTGCCTCTAGGTTTGTGCTTTAAGGGCGATTAAAAGCTGTGCGCTGCATTAAACAAACTAGAACAAAGTGTCTTTGATATGTTGTACCAGATGGTCAAACCTTATGCTTCTATTCTATTACTTTGTCTATGCTGTAGGTGACGTATGACGGCATGTGAAAAATAATAGCCCTTGTCATGTCAGGTAGTAACAGTCAGACAAACATTTGGTGTTTTGATTACTAGAAACTAGGGATGTACCGAATAGTTTGAATCATGGAAGCTTCATTCATAACGTTAACATTCAAATTCTAAATTGACATTCGAATGCTGCACAAGTCAGGACTAAAAAAAAGTAGCAACCAGGTTACATCATTGTCTTCTTCTCTCTCTTTATGTCCATCTGTCCGTCCCTTGCTTCTGAACGTGATATCTTAGGAGCACCTTGAAGGAATTTCTTTTAACATAGTTCAAATGTCCACTTGGATTCAAGTATGAAGTGATTACAATTTGGTTGTCAAAGGTAATTTTGTATATCTATAATTTACAAGAATCCACCTTTTAGAAATCAATTACATTTGTGATGTATACATATTCACTGGAATAATAAAACCGGAATGTATCATTAATATGGTTCAACAACAACAACAACAACAAAAGCCCAACTTGACCGGTTGGTGGAGGCATAAAACCCCAGCACAGTAATTCTAGTTTATTTATTTTTTATGGTGATGACATTATAAAATAATACGACATTTAAAGAAAACCTCAGTAGAAGCTTTGAATGTACAGCCCCACTACAAACCCTTTCCGAGGCAACCATGTTTGTCTAGTGTCGCTATGGCTACAGGTGTTGCTCTTGTCTATCATGACATTAACAAGAGGGAGTGACTCATGTTCTCACACAGTGCTAATTTTACTCCTTATAATATGTGCAATATAATTTATGAATCCATGCTGTGACTGAATGCACTTGTCTATCCCAAATGGCTCTGTGAATTCTGCCTAAGATTCCTTTGCTTACAAAACAGAGACACTAGACCACTAAGACTCCTTTTAGAGAGAAAAAGCATCCCGAAGTGATTCCATAATAACAGCTGATAACACCATGAGCCCCAAGAGCTGCTTTGTGCTGCCAATAAAAGAAGGATGAGTCCAGTAATTAAAAATGATTCACCATATTCTGCACAAATGTCACAGAGAACATGCATGTTCTCCATATTCTCACAGAGCAAAGGTGGCTGGCTTACCTCCAATAAGCAGACAGCTGTTATTAAAAAAGAAGTGGAGCTCCATATGCTCTGAATGAAAGTAAGATTTCTGTGCCAGATGCCAAACCTACACCATTGGGGAAGTAAGAGGGGTGAAACTAACATTGTTTAATATAGATATTTGCATATTTGTCATCTTGTAGTTGCCAGAGTACAACTGATTCCTATTTTCAGTCTTGGCAGAGACAGCTACATTAGGATCAAGCCAAGTAATCAAGGGCCTCATTGTGATAAAGGAAAATGTACAGTTTAAAGGTTGGCACAGCTGAGTCACCGCTGAAACTCTCCCAGTGAACAGTGTAAACTTTAATGTGGTCTCTTTGCTTTCTAAATGTGCATATTTTGATCATCCAAGTAGTCATAAGTGAAAGATAGAAGACAACGCACAAGCAAGTTTTTAATGGCATGAAGAAGTATTGCTCAGTGCTTCACTGCAATTATCTGTGCAGTTGAGAAAGGGTCAAATCTCAAGTCTAAGAGACTTTTAAGTGTTCAAATTCTAATAGAACCTGAAATGAATTTAAAGTGGTAGTTCAGGTGGTGAAGGAACGTTAAGTAAACATTTGGAAATCATCTCCTTGTAACGTTGGCTCTGATATTATACAAGCTAAAGGCTCAAGGACCAAAGCAAATAGCTGCAGAATTAAGAGACCCCCTTGATGAGATGACCCGGAGGCACCAAACAAAGAAGTGCAGATTATCCTGCTGGAATCTCTGCCAGTGGGTTAGAATAAAGCAGTTCTATCTGACAAATGAACCATTCATCAAACCCTGTAGCCTCCAGAACAGACCGCAAATAGCCCCACATAACTCTTTCAAAGTCTCAAGGCACTGGACAGCAGCTGGGAGGTGAATATACAGTATGTAGCTGAGTGTATATATTTATAGTATAGTGTAGCTATAGCTGGTAAAACTGGTATGATCATAGAACATAATCCAGTCTAAAAATTTATTAATGTAAGTGGGTTATAATTAAATTAAGTTAGGTCCTTCTTGCTGCATATTGACTATATAAATAATCCCCCTAGAAGATTCCAAAAATGTTCCTCTAGTCAGACTCACTTTCAGTGAGATGTGTCAGGTCCACTCTACTGTGAAATGCATCACACTTTACTCTGAAAAGTTATGTCTGATTTGTGCAGAATGCAGAACAGTAGGAGTGGATATTGTCATTAATCTGTGTGGGTTCAGATCTAATAGATGAATTATCAGCTAATTGCTTCCTCCCAGTGTTTGAATTACACTGTGGCTTTCGGCTTGAGACCTATTTTTCAGAGGCGGGAGGGTACTGTGTACCTGCGCAAGCAGTCAATTTCCCCTTGGGGATGAATTATCATATCGATATCTATCATTCTCTATCTATCTATCATATCTATCTATCTATCAATCCATATCTATCTTCTATCTTTTCTATCTATCTAATCTATCTATCTTTATCTATCTATCTTATCTATCTATCTATTCTTATTCTCATCTTCTTATCTATCTATCTATCCTATCTATCTATTCTATCTACTTATCTTATCTATCTTATCTATGTATCTTTTCTATCTATATCTATCTATCATCTTACGCCTACAAGCAGATATCAATACATTAAATTTCATACAGAGGATTTTATTCTTGGAGACAACAAAGCAACACAACAAAATAGCACTGTAGAAATGCCCAATGCCAGTGACAGGCAATGGTTTGTGTTACTTTGTTAAACTGACCAGACTTAGGTGACATCACATGACAATCCTGAACTTACCCAGTGTGTAATGGGTGTTAAGTGCACCCCCATGAAGCCCTGCATTGATGGTCACAGCAGGAATAGACAGCAGTGGGTTTATAGACACAAATGATCTAAAATTGCTATGCGTGAATCAACATTCACATTTAAAAGTGCTTCACTATTAGCCTATTTTTTATTTCAGGAACCTAAAGAGCCTCTGAATATTCAACCCAAAGCTGTGCATCGTCTAGAGAAGGGAAACATTATGGATATAAATGTTAGAGGTACCTTGCTGCATGGATTCCATTGCAATTTCTTTCAAATCAGTTAAATACTGCAGTGTTTACTTTGGTTCTCCAGCTTTCCTTTGTATCTAAGTTGCTTTATTGGCCACAGCATCTTCAGGAATTAATACCATTTAGGTTTCAGGTAATCAAGTTGCTGTAATGGTTTACACAATAACACAAAATGTATATAAATTCAGGAGGGTTGTTTAAATAGGTTGAACATAACACAAGTAAACAAAAGTTTATATCCAGGAAGTCTAAAGTGGATGACTAAATTAGAGCTGCAACAATTAATTAGGGGTTTTGTAGTCCTCTATGACAATAAACTGAATACCTTCGGGTTGTGGACAAAACAAGTCATTTCAGCACATCATCTGGGGCTCTGGAAAACACTGACACATTTTTCACGATTTTCTGATATTTATAGACCAAAGAACTCTGAAACTCTGAAAATAATCATTAGCCCCGAGATTAAATACAGTGCAATATTAAATAATGTATTAAATAGACATTTTTACAAATGCAGAAACTGGAATTATTTTGGCCCAGTCGTGTATAACCTGTAGGTATCATTAGCTCCCTGAAGCTGGATGTGTAATTGGGTGCTATTGCGGAGATATCTTATATATTTCCAGTTGATGGGTTATTTGAATTCAAACAGTGTTAGATATTGTCCGCTCTGCTTATCAGGGGGAGTGACACAGATGAGCCTTGTACACAAACTGATCGACCAATTTAAAGAGTCATTCCTCCAGTCAGACCATATTATGCCTCCTCATTAATGGTTTGGAGTCACCGCGTCTAAGTAGCTCCTGAAACTCTTGATGTTCTGCCGGCAAATCTCGGCTCAGAGCAGGGCTGTCAATTTTTCCGTGCATTGTGTTTCATCTCCATTTCAGTGTGAACAGCCCAGCACCACATGCAAAAATCTGGCAGCCTGTCAAGCAACATAATGCAGACTGCAAAATGTCATTTAAGATGTTGATATTTAAGAAGCGTCTGGTTCAAATTTTGGAAATTAAATCCCTGCTTCTGTCTTCTTTATCTGTTTCTCTGTCTGTCCTTAATAGGTCAACTTGGTTTTGGATGATGGCCGGTCTCTGGGTCTGATGATCCGGGGGGGAGCAGAATACGCTTTGGGTATTTACATCACTGGAGTTGGTACCAAGGATCAGCAGCAGAAGTGTGGAGGACTTAAGGTATCACTACAGTCTATCTTTCACTCGCTGTCTGACACACACACACACACACACACACACACACACAGCACACACACACACACACTCTCACACACACGGTCTCACTTTGATCAAACAAATCTGTGATATTTATAAGAATTTAGAATCATAATGCTATAGTCTTTGGTCTTGGTGTGCTTGCAGGGCAATGTTTAGAATCGCTCTCTTGTTCTTTCATTACTGAGGCTTTTCAGTGCACTACTCCTCACCTAGTTTTGGTGCCTAATACACATGTTGGTATGTCAAAATATCCTTTGGTTGTCATCTTCAGTACTGAGTTTTTTCTGAACTATGTAGAATGTCAGCCACTTGATTTAAAAATGATACATTAACCACTTTATACTAATACCTTATCAACCTGCTGAGGCTTGTGTAGAACAAACAAACAGGACCAGCATCTGCAGCTTCCCCTATCTGGTTCACGCACTCTTTTGCTAGAAAGTGATGCATCGCACAGGAATAAACTGTATATCATTATTCTCTCAAGAGTATTACATTACTTTGCCTTCAAGGTAACATTGGAAACTTTCCGCAGTCAAAGATACATACCTTTTGCAGTTACTATAATTTATTTATTATTTTATAATAGCATTGATTCCTCAGAGGGAAGTTATTCCTTTCACCTGCTGTCCTTACAAGGATGTCAGAGCACAGGGTCAGGTCCAGAGCTGGTCAGGATTTAATGTAGTACATTAGAAGTGCAGAAACAGCCATCAGGGATCACGGTGTATCAGCACTGGGCCTGTCCATGATTAGATCTCTAACCGCTGGGACAGCCCATGTTCTTGGCTAGATCAGATTTGCTCTGCACATCTATTGTTTGCTCTGTCCAGAATACAGGCATCTCTAACCACTGAAATGTCCTGTCCTTATGAAAAAAGTTTTTTTTTTCAATGATTCTGTCACAGTAGCATGACCACACAGAAAGAGTAATTCCAATATGCCACTTTGTTTGCTTTACAAATAAATGGTTCTGACTACTTCAGGCCATTCTCTGTCAAACTGATATGCTCTTCCTCTTCACCATATGGGCTATCAAAAATAATTGCTTTAAGCTGTTTGAACAAATGAGAAAGTAACATATGGTTTGTGTTGGATATGTTGTGCTGTGACTATACTATAAATTGGACATCAAGTCCTGAAAAGTAAGCAGAGTTTCTCTGAATAATGGTAGTATTCATGGTAGTAGTGTGAGAGGATGCAGTTGGTTATGAAGAAAGGAATGGATGAATGAAGGAGTGATGGACTGATGCAAAGATGTTTATTTGTATAGGGACAAGTATGTAACATAAGCTAATGCGACACACCACGACATTTAAGCTCATTTGCAATGCCTGTTCCTGGATGGGCCTTTAAAATACAGACAACTCAACAACAAATACAGACGGTACAAAACACAAACTCAACAATAAGTACTCCACAGTAAATACACAAAAACTAAGCCCAGCCTAGAATCTATAGCCTAGATAGATTGCTGTTTTCAGTGTCACACAACAGGATGCTGGAAGCCGCTGGGGGGGGCCTGAGAGAAAACTTCTATACAACGGCAGTAATTACAGTTACCCAGTTACGCTTATGTAGCTGTAGCTACTGCATTGAACTCTCTTCAGGTCTGTCTGACAGGATGATCAGTGCCCTCACATCTCTGGTTTCAGTATTAGAAACGTATAAACTTCTTTTATTAACTGATGGTTTTTATCATGCCGGATTTTAGGGGGAGCTCCAACCCCCTCAGCTGCCAGCATCCATCCATGCGGGATGGATGTACCATACCAGATAAAAACTGTGCACAAACTGATTTTTTTTTTTTTTCAGGCAGTAAAGTATCCATCCTTAGACTGCACAGCTTTGGTTGGTTTGCTTACAGATGTGTGTTTGTCATGGTGACATGGCAACAGAAGGAGAGTGAGGATGGACGCCTCCTCCCCTGAGCTCTTCATCTCATGCCTGTTAGTGATCCGCCTGTCAACCATCCAATTACACAGACACCTATTAGAGGGCCCACACAGGCGCACACACTCAGCATAGCATCTTGATGTGGAGTGTTGTTAGCAACTAGAAAGGGCTCTTATTAAAAGAGTGAAAAGAAGACGGAAGGTAGAAAAGGCTTTAATATCCTGTGATATGACATGTGCTTTTCTTGCTTTTTTCATCTTCCTGCTTTTTCCCCCTCAAGGTCTTTTATTTTATTTCATATGTATGAACTATTTAACACAGCTTCTGGTGTTCTGCTGTGATGTGCATTTTGAGAAGTGTGTTTTAGAGTTTTCAGAGCTCAAATTACTTTTTTTTTGTGTCCCAATTTCCGCCCTCCCCCATTTCTCTGTTTTGGTCTCTGGCAGCTTTGTACTTGGAATGGAATTTCGTCATTTGAAAATACTTGAACGAATACAAGGCAGTAGAGCTTCCAGTGCAAGCAAACACATTCACACTTGAGTCCAGGGTTCAGTGGGAGAAACAAAGATCTAACTAAAGGACATTTTCCTGCCTGGTACGATGTGTTTCACCCCTTTTGTTGATTTAGAGTGATGCTCCAGGAGACACCTCGCTTTACCTTCAGGCCCGAATGCTAAGCTCTGTCTTGACAGAGTGAGTGGGAGGTCAAGAAAGAGCAAGAGAAGTAGAGAGGGCACAGCCATAGACAACCTCCCACAATCAGGCACAGACACAGATTTCATTGTGTGCACACACTTGCTTAGGTGGGCAGGAAATAGGCCAGACACACAAATACTAAATCTTAGGTCATGGTATTTAAAATTCTGAGCTGAGCTGGCCATTAAAATGGGTCAGGAACATACCTGTAGAATATATCATATCTCCAAGGAGATAATTATTCTTTATACCATCTACCATCCCTGTTGACATCATCATCACTTGTGTTTCTGGCGTTGTTAGTGCCAAAGGCAAGATCATTAACTTATTTCCCAGTAAAAAAAAGAATTCCCTCAGGATATTTAGAAAATACACTGGAATTATTATTTAGTAGTTGTGGATGTAAGCATCCAAGACCGAAACCAAATCTAGCTTGCTACTATAGGGCAAATCTAAATTCCTGCTTCTGTTAAACCTTGCAATGTTAAGGTCAGGTCATGCCACGCCAAGTAGGAAACTGATTTATCGTCTTTAATAATGAATTTCAATTTTTCCTCTGCTGCTTGGGCACTGTATTCGTTTTGGACACATGATGTGAACAGTAGCTATGTAAGTTAACATGCAAGCCATTGTTACGAGATGACGACACTTCCAAGACACCCGCAGTAGTTAAAAGCCATTTGTTCATTTTAAAAGTTGAAATGGCGTTTCTCATGTGAACATTTTGAAGGTGGTATGAAAAGGCCCTTATTTAATCAAAGCATGAACCCTTTGTTGAAACTTTCAAGATAAAAATGTCACATCTTTGAAGGTAAAGGGCATTAATGGCCTTCCTGAGGAACTCAGGCCTCTCAAGATATCCGTATACGTATCAGTTTGACCCCAAAGTAATCAGGTTTCTTTTTTTTCCACATAATTTGCACACAAACTGAGATGCCTGTATCTATTGACTATCACTTTGGAAGTATGTTAAGGTTAACAAACTGAGTTGAATGAAATTAAGTTTCAGTTTTGAAAGTAAGCTTTCAGTTTGCCTTGTTACTGAAAGAGTTAATGGGGAATCTGGAGAGCAGAGACAGAAGTTTATTGAGCTGTATTACAAAATCAAAAATCCATTTTTAGAAAATGTGTAAAACATTAAAGCGGATATTAATGTGAATTTATTCATGCTTTGTTGTCACTGTTTCTCTATTTCTCTATTTGCGCTGGCAAATGGCAGCACTGTTAACATTTGGATGACGAGCCTCCCGCTGTCTCCAGAGACCAGGGTTCAAGTCTCAGCAGGGTGGCCGGCTGCACTGCTCTCAGATTAGACACATCCTCTCCCAAAAGGACGGATCCTGTGTGTAACTGGGTGATCCATAGTGTTTGATCATCTTAAACTGTGCAACTTGTGTACAGAAGGATTCCTGCGCAGTCATACCTGTTAGAAGCTGTTATGAATGCAAATTTCTTCATTCAGATTAGAGTTTTTGGTACAGGGAGTAAGGATTTTCTCATGGATATACCATAAGACATTTATTTTACATTTATTCTGAAAAAGACATTTGATTTGCTGAGAAGCTGTGAATAAATGCTGAAATGATTAGTTAACAAATCAAATAATCAGTTAATTAATTGACTGCAGTTGATAATCAATTAATCAGATATTTATCAAGCAACAATTCTAAACATTCACCTGTTCCAGCTTCTCTAATGTGATGATCTCTTTCTTTTCTATTGTTTAATATCATTTTGGGTCTTCTTGGATTCATCTTTGAGTTTGGGGCTGTTTAAAACTTTAAATTCAAAATGACACCCAGGGCTTCTGGGAAATTGATTATTTTAAACTATTTTTATATAGTTTTATATTTTACAGACAATTAATAAAGAAAATGATGTTGAAACAATAAAAACAATAACAAGTTGTAGCCTTTCTGAAAACACCTATCTGTGGAAACTACACCTCTTGTTTAATAGGTTTAATGTTCTCCCTATAGAGTAATTCTGTTTCAAAGTATAACAACACATCCTGAACTTTTCTAACTGAGCTTGATGAGTAAGAGGACTGCCTGTGTCAGATTCTGCAGACTCTGCAGTTATGGTCCTGTAGGTGCATGCCAATAAGCTGTTGCTAAACTTGCCTTTGACCCTAGTGAATGATTTGCCTGCATAGCATGGCCTTTTTACATTTAGACATCTAACGGTTATGCAAGAACAAATACCTGTTTGTGAAACAACAAATGATGTCGGAGGTGGCAGACAAGTGTTTTTGGCAGCTGAATCTCACTTAGCTTGGCTTTATTGTGATTTAGTGTTCTCGTGTGGTGTTTGATTGATGTAGTGAT